AAAACTAGCTTACAAAATTAACCTAACCAAACTTACCCTAGATTGGTGAGGTTAAGTTACATAAAGTCATTTAGGTTAGGTTAGGTTGGTTTTAATTAGGATAGTTTGGTTTAGTTTACTTTAAGTTACATTAGATAAAGTGGTTTAGGTTAGGTTAGGTTTATTTGGGTAAGGTTGGGTGAAGTTAGTTTAGGTTAGGATGGATTAGGTTAGTTTAAATCAGATTAGTTAATGTTAAGTAAGGGTAGTCAAGATTAAATTAAGTTAGGTTAGGTTAAGTTTTGTTTGGTTCGTGTCGTGTAAAGGATAAGTTAACATAGTGATCGTGTTCGTGGTGTTTTTCCAACAGAGTGCTTCTTGCTGTCAAAATAATGTACAACTAGTGACAATATTTTGCAAGTGCACATTTGTATGTTGTGATTCATTACATATTATAACTGTATAGATCAACAGGATTTTTAATTGTACCAGAAACACTTAGTATTTATTATTATTAGACAATGATTTAACCCTTTGAGGACGATGATTTAACCCTTTGAGGACGATGATTTAACCCTTTGAGGACAATGATTTAACCCTTTGAGGACGATGATTTAACCCTTTGAGGACGATGATTTAACCCTTTGAGGACGATGATTTAACCCTTTGAGGACGATGATCTAACCCTTTGAGGACGATGATTTAACCCTTTGAGGACGATGATTTAACCCTTTGAGGACGATGATTAACCCTTTGAGGACGATGATTTAACCCTGATACGATGATTTAACCCTTTGGTACGATGATTTAACCCTTTGAGGACGATGATTTAACCCTTTGAGGACGATGATTAACCTTTTGAGGACGATGATTTAACCCTTTGAGTACGATGATTAACCCTTTGAGGCGATGATTTACCTTGAGGACGATGATCAACCTTTGAGGACGATGACCTAACCTTTGAGGACGATGATTTAACCCTTTGAGGACGATGATTTAAACCCTTTGAGGACAATGATTAACCTTTGAGGACGATGATTTAACCCTTGAGGACGATGATCTAACCCTTTGAGGACGATGATCTAACCCTTTGAGGACGATGATTTAACCTTTGAGGACGATGAAACCCTTTGAGGACGATGATCTAACCCTTGGGGACGATGATTTAACCCTTTGAGGACGATGATCTAACCCTTTGAGGACGATGATTTAACCCTTTAGGGACCATGGTTTAACCTTTGAGGACAATAATCTAACCTTTGAGGACATGATTTAACCCTTTGAGGACGATGATTTAAACCTTTGAGGGACGATGATCTAACCCTTTGAGGACGATGATTAATTCTTATAAATGCCGATAATTTATTTACCTAAAGACATTAAATTTAATAACCCTTAGAAAAAAAATCATTTCATTATCAAAGCATAAAGGAAATATTTCCAAAAGAAATAGGCACCGTCAGGACCAAAAAATAAACCCAAGAAGCCATAACTAAAGTAGGATGACGTCACGCCACAACCCGGAGGCAGCCACTACAGTATATAAGGCGTGCAGTTTCGACAAGTGACAGACGAGCCTTCACCGTCAGCCAACACGCAGCGCAGAATAATACAGCACTATGAGGTACAGTACTGCCCTGCACACACTACCATCAGGTTTAACTTTTCTGGATGGTAGTTATGCCAACAACAGTGTGGCTTCTACTGTATAAGAATCATAACAACAGTGTGGCTCATACTGTATACACCAACAACAGTAAAATTTACTGTATACACCAACAACAGTGTGGTTTACTGTGACACACCAAATAAATAGGTTTCTTACTGTATACACCAATAGCAGGGTTTTATACGATATGTACCAACAGTGTGGTTTTATATACACCAACACCAGTGGCTTTTTATACTAGGTATATCAAATAAACAGTGTGGTTTATACTGTAAAAGAGTACTAAATAAATAGGGTGGATGATATATACCAAACAATGTGTGGTTTTATACTGTATATATCAAACAACAGTGGTTTTATACTGTATACACTCAAATAACAGTGTGGTTTACTGTATAACAATTCTAACAGTGTGGTTTTTACTGTATACACCAACAAGTTTACTACAGGCACCAACAATGTGTGTGCTCTAATGTATACACCAACAGTGTGGTTTTACTGTACACACCATCAACAGTGGTTTTACTGTATACACTAACAACAGTAGGGTTTCACTGTATACTACCCAACAACAGTGTGGCTCTTACTGCATACACCAACAGTAGGTTTTACTGTATACACCAACAAACAGTGTGGCCTCTTATACAAAACGTTACAGTCGTAGTGTGGTAGGTAAACATCCACATTGTGCAGCACTATATATATATGACGTCATGAACAAGTTTCTGTATATAGGCGACGTCATGAACAAGTACTGTATAGACGTCATGAAATAAGTACTGTATATAGACGCCGCGAAATAGTACCGGTATATGGACGTCATGAACAGCATGGTTAGGATGACGCCTGAAT